TCTTTCCCTCCCATGATCCATAGCTTGAGCTCTTGCCTTGAGCTAGTGAGGAATTCTTTGGTCTGTACAAATGCAACGATGCAACAATTGTACTGATTTCATTAAAAGCAGTTTTGGGTCAGAGAGGGAATAAAATTAATGCAAAACTCTTCCTTCAGGGCATCAAACTTCTGAGGAGTTGAATGCCTCAACTGCCCTTGAGTTTCAGGGAAATAGTCCCAAGCCAGGAGTCCTTACTGTGGCACACTGTACTGATACACAGTTTAGGCCAGAGACTCAGCTGATCCAGTTGTTTTGCAATAAGAGACTATACCTTGGTAAGAAATTGTTTTTTCATAAAAACATACCTGTAAAATATTCTCCAAATTCTTGTTCTAATTTAATTGCTCGATCGTAGGTTTTCTTTGCTTGCTCCTCTGTGAGACGTTTATTCATTTCCCTAGAAACACAGAGGAAGTCATCAAGAACTTTAGATTCTTACTAAAAGAGCTTCTTAAAAGGTACGTTCAACTGAATCATAGATGGACTGAGATCGGTTCAAGAATGAAGTGTTGAAATTCTTCCATCGGTTCATGGGCACTTTCAGTATTTTAAATTTAATTTCATTCTTATGTAGTGTAAACCTACATTTCCAGAGTATTTCCCATTTCTCCACTGAATTTTTATTTTGGGTTCACCACTCTACACTCCCAAACAAAATATGAGGCCCTAATCTGGTAACTGCCAACTGAGGTGGACTTCTGGCATCAGGAACCTATGAGTAAGTCTGGGAGCGAGGAGACCTCAAGGTCTGTGCACTCAGAGCACTCCTACCTCCAGAGCTGAAGCTCCTTCAGGAACCTCCCTATCTCCCAGGCCCACAGCTGCCTGTCTCGGCTGAATGAGGCTGTCCAAACTGCTGAAATGGAAGGTGTGTTTTGACTGGGGCTGGTGTTATGGAAGTGATACCATGATTAAGGGCAGGATTCAGCTCAGTGAGACTCCTGACCGTGAGGGAGGAATCCCAGAGTCATTGTAAACCCTGTAGGGAAGCCCCAGAAGGAACCCCGCATGTCTTCCAGGGACACTTCTTCTTTCAAGGGGCTGCATGAGTTCCAGACATCATGAGAAATAAAACTGAGCCTTTCCAGTAGAAGAGTTGAGTTATTTATGTTCTCTGTTCCAGTCCTTTCTGATTAACTACAGACATTTTCAGTCAAGTGTGTCTTGTAGATTCTAAAATGTACAGTGCACCAATAAATGTAAAAACATAGACAGTGTCAGTAACATTCTTATTGCCAATATTTTGTTATTTGATGGAGCATTTCTGTTTCAACAGAGGCATTATTTAATAACTTTAAGAAATGAGCTGTCATGCCCATGTGGGCTCAGCTTTTAATACGACTGTATACTTGCAAAAAATCAAGCTCATACTCATTCACTGCCTTACACATTTATGCCTGCAGATATCCAAATTAATTAGCAATAATAAATTGCATTTTTCACAGCATGGATTCATTTTTCTTAAAACATGCTGGAAATTTTCTGAGGTAACTAGGAAAGCAAGACAAGGGAGCATCTTGTGTTCTACATAAATATGATTTAATGCCTTGTACTGAATCATATGATTATGTGGTAATGGACTGTATACAGCGTGACATGGGTGATACATGTAGGAAATTATGTGCATGATGGTGCATCAAAAAATGATGTATGAAGTGCAAAACAGTATGAACGTGCTACAGCTGACTACTACCTGGCTTCTGAAAAACACCCTGTAAAGTGTCCAGGATGTAAAGAAGTATTTCTAGAAATGACTTAAAGCTGTCTATCTATATAACTAACCATATAGCTGGGAACACTGCTTGGAAAAATCTCTCTGGAAGTACCAATGCCATGCAGAAAGCAGGTTTATAAAATGAGAGATAAGAAAGATTTCTTTGAAAATTTATGACAGTTATTTGCAGATTATATAAATAGGTTTAATATGTGCCAATCTATGTCATGCTGTTAAATTTGTAATACTACTAATTCTATTTATTGGAAGGATTGCTACCTAATTAAGTTCAGGTGGGCTTCTTATCAGTTATGCTGCCTACTTGAACATGTCTTTAGGTGACTCAACAAAAACTCTGTCTTGAAGTGGGACATGGCATTGCAAATTCTTATGCAAACTTAACATTTTATCTCATCTTACGTACATTCAGCCAATATTCTAGTGCTAACAGCAGATCTATTTCTGGTAAATTTCTGAGAAGTATTCCTAAAGATCTTCAAATATTAGAGGAGAAAAAAAAAAGTAAAAAAGCATTTAAAATAATAAATACTTTGAAACAAGCAGAAATTTGCATTATATATGCAGGGTATAGATTTGCCTGGGGTACAAAACTGTGCTAGTTGTCTTAATGCCTTGTGCCTTCATGAGAGAGGACGGAGAAGGGGAGGACCATGATGCCCGTTTTTCATGATGAATTAAAAGTGCTGTCAAACAACAGTCCCTTCTATTTTTTTCTTTCCTAGACAGGGACCTGCACAGCTAGTAAATTCAAAATGCTTGCAAATAGCTGCCCCTCCATCCACATTTCCCAGGATTTCCTCCTCTCCCAGTGAAGAGCTCACTCAGATGGCCTCTTCATTACTTCCAGCTCTCATCCCCATGATCCCATCACTGTCCTCTTTCTTTTCGGGAGAGAGGCCAGTTGAGGGCCTCTGGGATTAAACCTGTGAAATGAAGTCATGTAGAGATGGGAAAGGAAGGAAGGGGGAGCAGTTTGATTACAGCAATTTGACTGCCAGGACTGAATTTAACTGAAGAAAGCAGGAGCAGGAGACATCCAGCTCAGGCCACGTGTTCTGGTTACTTTTACATCCAATAGCCTCCTATGGTCTTGCACTGCTGTGGTTATATAATCATAAAATGAGACTTCAATAATTGTGCCAACTTGAGTGTGCCTGAATAATATAGAATCATAGAATAATTTAGGTTGGAAAAGACCTTTAAGACCATCAAGTCCAACTGTTAACCTAGAGCTGCCAAGTCCACCACTAAACCGTGTCCCTAAGCATGACATCTTAGCCTCCTATGGTCTTGCACTGCTGTGGTTATATAATCATAAAATGAGACTTCAATAATTGTGCCAACTTGAGTGTGCCTGAATAATATAGAATCATAGAATAATTTAGGTTGGAAAAGACCTTTAAGACCATCAAGTCCAACTGTTAACCTAGAGCTGCCAAGTCCACCACTAAACCGTGTCCCTAAGCATGACATCTACACGTTTTTTAAATAATTCCAGGCATAGTGACTCAGCCACTTCCCTGGGCAGCCTGTTCCAATGCTTGACAATGCTTTTGGTGAAGAAATTTTTCCTAATATCCAATCTAATCCTCCCCTGGTGCAACTTGAGGCTGTTTCTTCTCATCCTACTGCTTTTCACTTGACACCCACCTCACTACAATCACCTTTCAGGTATTTGTGGAGCAATAAGGTGTCTTCTGAGAGTCCTCACAACCCCAGTTCCCTCAGTCACTCCTCATAAGACTTGTTCTCTAGACCCTTCACTAGCTTTGTAGCTCTTCTTTTATCCATTAAGGAGTGATGTTGTGGAATAACCTACAAGTTAGAGTAGAGGGGGCAGGGAACCTCTCTAGAAACCTTACTAGATAGACTTTACTCTATCTGTGAAAGGGATTATTTAAGTCTTACAATAGCAGAGGTCTATCTCAGAGGGTCTTTCACAGCCATTCTGTGTTGACTTCTGCTTATGAATGTCAAGCACTTTCTAATACTAAGGGAAAGGTGCTGCTCTGCTTGTGCAAGGTGCATGTACCTTGAAGCACAGTGAAATTATGTGATTTCTACCTTAGGGGAGCAGAGTATGTGGATCTATACAGCAAGGTTGTGTCTCATGCAGTTTTAAAAATTATAATAGGACCTGGCACTTGGCCTTGTTGAACCCCATACAACTGGCCTCATCCTTTTGATCCAGCCTGTCCAGATCCCTCTGCAGAGCCCTCCTACCCTCCAGCAGATCAACACTCCCACCCAACTTCTTGTCCCCTGCAAACTTACTGAGGGTACACTTGATCCCCTTGTCCAGATCGTTGATAAAGATATTAATCAGAACTGGCCCCAACACTGAGCCCTGGGGAACACCACTTGTGACCGGCTGCCACACCATTCACCACAACTCTTTGGGCCCAGCAATCCAGCCAATTTTTTTAATCCAGTAAAGCATATGCCCATCCAAGCCATGAACAGCCAGTTTCTCCAGGAGAATACTGTGGGAAACTGTGTCAAAGGCTTTACTAACATCTAGGCAGACAACATGTACAGCTTTTCCCTCATCCATTCAGTGGGTCACCTTGTCATAGACAGAGATCAGCTTAGTCAAGAAGGACCTGCCTTTCATAACCCCGCGCTGCCTGGGCCTGATTGCCTGGTTGGACTGTATGTGCCATATGATGGCACTCAAGATGATCTGCTCCATAACCTTCCCCTGCACTGAGGTCAGATTGACAGGCCTGTAGTTCCCTGGATCCTTCTTGTAGATGGACGTCACATTTGCTAACTTCCAGTAACTGGGACCTCTCCAGTTAGCCAGGACTGCTGATAAGTGATGGAATGTGGCTTGGTGAGCACTTCTGCCAGCTCCCTCAGTACCCTTGGGTGGATCCCATTTGGCCCCATAGATTTCCATGTGTTTAAGTGGTGTAGCAGGTCACTAACCATTTCTCCTTAGATTATGGGGGCTTCATTCTGCTCCCTGTCCCTGTCTTCCAGCTCAAGGGGCTGGGTACCCAGAGAGCAACTAGTTTTACTATTAAAGACTGAGGCAAAGAAGGCATTAAGTACCTGAGCCTTTTCCTCATCCTTTGTCACTGTGTTTCTCCCGCATCCAAAAAAGGATGGAGATTCTCCTTAGCCCTCCTTTTGTTGGTAATGTATTTATAGAAAGTGGTCATTAGTGTTAGCAGGGTATTTCCAGAGAACCAGCAATAACCAAGTTTCAAGTGCAATGCAAGCTTAATTTATGCTTCCTTCAGTCTTATTACCTTGTCAGGTGGGCGCAAAGGAGCATACGCGTAAATGAGAATTAGTCCCTTCAAATTTAAGTGCTAATTTTGCTGCAGGTTAAGTCTTTTGACTTTATTTTTCTGCATCTTCTTTTCTGACAATTTTTTGTCTTTTATGGTTTTACTTTGCTGTTACACTAACTTTCAACTTATTTGTATGAACAGGAGTAATAGTTATGGCAACCAAACCTGTAATTTTTGTGTTGCAGTAGTTACATACATAAAAAAAACTGAGTGAACACAGTTACGCTGTCATAAAATGTCCTCTTTCTGTTCCCCTAGAGCACTTGTTTACCACAATAAACTTCTCTACACTAAAATAATAGTATCTATTGCAAAGGGGTTATATCCATTCATCTATGCGCACCCCACAACTCACTACTGCTTACGTCAGACTATGTATTTCTTTAGCCAGACCCTGAGTGATTTAGCTTCATTACTAAATAAAACGATTTTCACAAGCAAGGGGATCAGGATTGTCATTATTCTCAAGACAATTATTTTAAAAGAATGATAGTGTTTATATAAAAAGAGTTCTCATTTCTGTCAGAAACTAATTTAGGGTGTTGTTTGGTAAGATAAATACACATTTGATAGATTAACTAGATAAAAAGATTACTTGTGGAGAGTAGGCTGCAGGGGATAAACTAATTTAGAATGTCTGAATTAATGATATTTTTCGCTTTTTTTTAAGAGTTACGCTGTGTTTACATAATTCATTTATATAAGCCCTTTTACTGCAAAAACATCCCAAACTAGTACTGATACATAAGGACTTTTGCTATCCTGCAAAAGTTTGGATTTCTAATTAAGCGTGTCGTCCACAGAGTATTTGCAGAACGAGGAATTCAAAATATATACTTAATATAGTATAAGTACTATATATAGTAAGTAAGAATAACTTACTTTTGACTTAGTTATCAGACCACTCTCTCCCTTCTATACAGCAAGATAATCAGAATATAACTGAATTGTAGGGCTGGAAGAAATGTCAAGAAGTCACCTAGCCCAAGATGGCTTTGGTCAGCGTGGGACTGTGCGAATACCATATACTGTGCATCATTCCCTGTAATGCTGCTGGACGTGCAACAACCTTATCACCAAAAAGCGGGCCATCCAAAAGGATGCACATGCGGTCATGGGATGGAGCATGTTAGCAGCCTCCAGCTCTGTTGTGGTTGTGGGCACATCGTTCCACAACCAGCTATGTGTCTGTCACAGGAGGGGGGATGCCTACATTTTAGCTGTGTAACAGATACCCGTGACACCACCTTCTGTTTGCAGTCTTGAGTGAGGGGAAGGCACAGGCTTCAAAATTTAATCCCTATCACTGCAAATTAAGCTGATAAGTTCTTGCATTACCATAACTGTACATGGAAAACAATTGATCACAATGTATTTTACCCTGAGCTTTAACCAGCATTGAGATCACTCCCATATTTTCTCCTCAGTGTTCCCTCCCTGACACTAGGCAAACCCCGATCGACCTACACCTCCAGGGTGGTACCCAGAACCAGGCCAGCGCTCCGGCTGAAGCCTCATCCACACCCTGTAAAACAAAATAACTGTCTATTGTGTCTCTGCACAACACTGATGTTAATACAGCCCACAAGGACAGTTTCCTTTTTTGCAGCCACATTATCCATCCATTCACATTCCTGTGTGTTCCATCCCAGCCGCCAGATGCTTTTCTGCAGTGCTATATCTTAATTATTCCGTGCTTGTACTTGTGCAGTTCATTTTCTCTCCTTTGTCCGTGCTGAATTTCATCTTACTGATTTTACATTGAGTTTTAATCTTATCCTCCAAAGTGCTTGCCACCTCGCTCAGCCTTGAGTTATTCACAAACTTTACAAAAGTATTGCCCAAGTCATCATTCAAGTAATTAATGAAAATAACAAGTAGTCCCAAATAGGGACACAGCTCAGGAAATATACTTGTAGGATTTCTGTTACCCTCCCAGTTTAACAGTGCCATTTTCAATGACTGATTACGGTTGTGCACATGCTCTCTACTGATTCCCTTTGGACTGTATTTCTCTAATTTTATATTTCCCTAATTATTAATATTATATTTCCCTAAGCTGCTACTGGGTATGTCCCATGGAGCCATAATAAAAATCAAGATGCAATACAATTATTGATGTCCATCTCATGAAAGAAGGAAGTAAGATTGATTTGATTTGCTCTTGATGAACATACATTGGCTGTCTCTTAAAACCTTTTCATCCTCTCAGTTATTACACCTGAGCTGCTTAACTGTCTCCTGGGTCCCCGGGTTTTTCTAAGTATTGCAGTTAGGTTGCCTGCTGTCAGCATGAAGTTGGTGCCTTCTCTTTCCTTCTTTAAGTGTTATATTTGCCCCTCTCCAATCCCATGTGTTCTTGCCTATCCTCTTACAGACCTTCAAGTAAATGAAGGGTTTGACGAAGAGGTACACCCTGCAAATCTGGCACAGGTTTACCTTCTGGTTTGCCCCCTGTGACCAGACTCTACATCCCAAGAGCACCCAAGGCTGGATGGGACAAGCTGTGCTGCATGAGACCTTGATGAACTTGCTGCACAGGTTGGAACAAGTACACCGAGCACTGGTAGGGAGTCCAGCATGATCCAACGCGTAAGCCCATGTGTCCAGTGTGAAAGGTTCAAAGGTAGCTTTGGCTCATTCTTTGAGATGCTGGGGTACAGCAGATGGCAGGCAGGGAGAGCAAGACTCCACTGTTCACACTGCCTCTGGTTACTGCTGATTTTAGAGGACAGGGAAAATGTAGACTCAAGACCTGTGTTGTGACACTTGAGACTGCACTCTGAAAATAAAATGCTTGAAGGAGTTTATACTTACATCAGAGGCTCCCATGATTTAGGCTTAATGAAGATAGCGATGGGATAGAGTTGTGCAACTTGTAGTCGTTTGATAGCATTTCCTGACACATCAAGTATGCAGTGCTTGCCCTGTTGGAAACAGATGAGGTTGTGTTTATTTTTACAGAGTTTGCTGCAGATCAGCCAAAAGATGGGAAGCAATTCTACAACACAGTGCCCTGGAAAGGGGCCACTACTGGCACACCACGGAAGGGGGACCCCAAGGCATGTGCTCCACTCCTATGCACTCTTCCCTTTGCTTTGGTACTAATGTAAAATATACAATGGAGATATGGGAACAAACTTGTTTTTTATTTTTACTGGGATGAACTTTGGGGAGGGGGGAGAGGATTTTCTTCAGAGAAGAGAAAAATCAGTTCATAAAACTTTTTACTGGTTAATTCAGTTCTTGTTTGCGTTAAGGACTCCCTTTGTCACCTGAGGCAAGTAATTTCATCTTTCTGTGGTTCATTCTTTCGCCTCTGTGAAAGTGAGATAAGTCTATTTACCAGTCTTACAGAAGGAAGAGGGAAGGCTGTTTTGGGGTGTATTTGAGGTGCTGTGTTAGATCCCTGAATCCATGGCAGTACATCCAAGTACAGAAAGTGCCAAGGATGTTGTCATTCAAAGTCAGAGACTCCACTTGTGGAGTCATTGTAAAGCTTATCAGTATTAGGATGCCGGTTTGCAGATATTTTATATTTTTGGCAGAAGAATCATGTCCGAGACACAATGTGGAAACAAAACTGATCATGTTGCATGGTGAATAAAACTAGGGTCAACCTACCCTTTCAGCCACGAATCTCACAGACTGGACACTAGTTCCATATAAATTATCATTGTACTGCCCAGCTTCTATAAATTTGTGCTCTTGAATATCTTTTTCCATTTGTTCTCTTGAAATGACAAAATGATAATCTCTCCCATCCACTTCATAGTCACGCTTTGGCCGTGTGGTATCTGCATGAAACGAAAGACAGAAAATCAAGAAGTTTGTAAAAACATTTCATGAAAAAATGCAGGAAACCTTAAGGTTTACTCAGTGGGCAATGCTGGGTCTGCTGTAAGTGGAGGTGCTCCACATCTGGGAGATCTTTGGCTACTACATACTGTTTTCAATGGAGTTATGACAATAAAGCTGTCTTTTTAAAGTAATACCTTCTGATGTTTACTTCCAATCAACACTTACAGGCTCACATAAAATTAGGATTCCACTTTTTTCAGCATGATCACACACAAACCCCAAATACAAAATGCATTCCAGATTGTAAATCTAATCCTATTACAGTGATAAAATGAATTTCAATCTCATTAATTTAATTTAGCCTTAATTATGGAGGCTGATTCTAATCTCATCTCTAGCAGTTTTAAGCTGGTGTATTTGCAGACGCAACAGTTGAAAATGAAGTAAGACTGCAATCAGGGTCTGAAATAAACACTCAGCAAGCTCTAATGATCCAAGATATAAACACTCTTGTTAATTCAGAGTCCAATATTGCTTTCAGATTAGACAGTCTAGATCTCACACAAATCACAGATTACTCTGTGTTTTTATTGATGGATGCTTGCAGTTGAGTTGAAACATTTTACATTTTGCCAGTATTTCAAACTTTTACATTGTTTAAGAAACCAGTGATTAACTCATGAGTAAATTGAGTTACTGGCTAGAAGGTTCTTTCTTTAAAAAAATGCTATAGCTTTTGAGACAATTCTTTTGAGAAATTCTTTCCAGACCTTCACAATCTTTTTTTTGTTTGTTCCTTTCCCCTTTTTGTTCAATGGAAAAATGGCTTTTGAGAAACTCAATTACATATAGTTCATGGATGCTGCTTTCACAGCAATTTACTTAATATGTGGCACCAAGGGATACAGCTCACACAGCTGCAGAAATAGAAGTAAAATCATACTTACGTGGTACGCATGAACCAAACTTATCAGGGAATTCAGATATCAAATCATCGTTGATTCGATCTTTCATAGGACCCAGAATAATAACCGGCCTGGTGTAATTAACTGAACAACAAAAAGAAAGGCATATTTTCATGATTTTACTGGCAATAACAGTAAATCTTCCCAAAGATGCACTAACCAGAGTTGTTGCCTTTACGTATGAAGTGAAAACTTAGGTGTACATTTTATTGAAGAATAACTTATTTATTGACATGGATAAGGAAAATTGAATGAGTACCACTCATTCTGCAGAGCTCTGTGATGGTCCATGCACATACAGTCAAATGGCTATGTGGAAGTATATATATTTGCTATTGCTCAACAAGATCACTCCCAAGTGCTTGCAGATGGACTCTCTCATGAGGCATGGAAAAGTGATTGTAGGATTTTGTTCTCAGTTATATGAGTGCATCCCCCATTAAATCATCTGGGTGCACTCCCATTTTCAGCTGCCTTCCTGTCAGTTCTTTACCCTTGCTAGAGGCACATATCACTTGAGGAGGAAAATAATAAAGGCTTCCCATATAAAAATATTGCAGTAAATCTAGGAAATCTGCCTCAATATTTTGTAGACTGATTAACGTGTTTATTAGTAAAGGCCATGAATGCATATTGGCGAGAGTCCTGAGAATGTTAGGAAGTGAGGTCTGGAGAGGGAGACCCTTACCTCATCTCTTTTGTATGTGATAGACCAGGTGGCCAAGAAAAAGGAGCCACAGAGAATCTGGGGCTGGCACAGCAAGGCTTATTGCTCTGCTGGTCCCCAAAATAGGAAATGAAAAATGTAAGGAACAGTGACAGAAAAGCAGATGAAACTTACTTTCCTGTCTGGTGACAGGTTCATAAGAAAGGATGCAGTCTTCTTGGCCTCCTGATGAGAGAAGAAAGAGAAGAGATTGAAGGTGACAAGCAACACATCAAGAAGTAAAGCTTGATAAAAGCTTCACATAGAGATAGACCAAGTTCAACATTTGCCTCTGGGAATCACCTGAACCATTCCAAATTCCCTTACAGCTTCAAGGTGTGGACACCACTTTTTTCCTTCCCCCCCCTCCCCTGCCACATGTTTCAATTCTCTTTTTTGAAATCGGGCCTTTTCAATGATGGTCAATAAGGCTTCATTTATTGATTTGATAAGAAGGCTGTTTACAAGGATAGTGCAGCAATTCGTTTGCTTGTCCAATTGTTAAGACCCTAATATGCTGCTGCAGAGCTAACCACAGGCTACCTGAACTGAACAATTTTTGTTCTCAGAATATAGACATTTTTGTTGATCATCTTTCTGTGCATAACCTCCATAGTCTAGTTTATTCACAGCCTGACATCAATCTATGAGCTATTTTCTGACCCTTATCCTTTCCCTGAACACAAATCTCACAGCATCATATTTTACACACGTATCCTCCCTCCACTCCTGTTAGGACAGTGCTGTTTCCTCATGGTGACCTTTAGGGAACAAAAGCAGAGAAATTTGCCACGAGAAACAAGTGGCACTATATGGACCAAGACTTGGGTGGAGGTGTACAGCTCCGATGCATCACTGTCCTCTCCTCTATAAGAGTGCAAGAGGAGAGGGAGGAGGATTCTTCAACCTACTGCATGAATAATTCCTGCACATTTCTCTTTCTGGGTCACTGTCACATACTTGGTACCACATAAGGGCTCTGGCAGGTTCTAAATATGACTTAGGCTTAGCAAAGTTTAAAATTATGATTTTTATTTTTACTCAGTTCAAGGCTTATCTCTGAGAAGAGCCACAGATGGGATTTCGCAACTAATTTAGATACTACAGAAGAAAGCGTGTCCTAAGGCGTACCGGGGCTTTATAAAATAGGCAGGGTTGCCTTCATCTCATCTGCCTGCAGGCGCTTGAGTCTGTGTTACATTATTCTGGCGGGGTCCTGCCAAACCAAAGCATGCTCATAGAGGGGAAGAGGGCTACCTGATGCCCAATGGATGGTGCAGGTAGGATTTAGAGAGGGGTATATCTCACCCTGAAGTAGTCTGACTGCTACCTGAGTCACCCTTGAGGCTCCATTAACTGTATTAACAAGATTTGTATTTGGATGCAATGCCTAGCTCCCAAGTAGGTACAAAATGTTTTGTGGTTTAGTCTTAAGCTGACTCCCACCCCATGAATCTAATATGTTGACAGGTATTTTTTGTGTTATGTTATCTAGACAGCTGTGAGAAATATGTAAGACAGCTCTTCAAATAAAAATAATGTTCTAATTAAGGACAATGACATAAAAAGCAAATTAAAAAATGTACTGATGTGTTAAGAGAGAGGGAGGACAGGGCCAACCCCAACTAGCAATGGTGCTGAAGCAGCAAAAGAGAAAACACTATTTTTAAGAAAAAGAAGAGATGAGACAGTTTTGAGGACAAGGCAACATACCATATGAGGAGTGTGAATAATGGATTTTCTTCTCAATTTAAACGTTTGATACTGTAATCACTTGCTTAACTTTGGCTTTTTGCAAAGTTAAAAACCTAGAATTATTATTACACTAGTTTCCTACATCAGCTGTATTTTTTTCCCTGGGAGTTTTGGGCGTGATATAAAACTCAGATTTTCCCATTCCCCTCGAGATGAAATGATTCACTCTCCAGGCTGGATGAGGATGCTCCTGCACTGCCTGCCCTCCAGCTCCCAGGAGCCAAGGCTATGTTTTTCAACAGCCTGAAGAAGTCAGTCTTGGGGTGGGCGATGAAGCCGTCATGTACTAAGCATGTGGAGGGGAGCCTATTTGTACGAACACAATCTTAAACTTGAAAATACTTGTTTCAATGGCATGCAGATCTGCAGAAGGGGATTCGTTTCAGATAATCATGAGTGCTTGTCTGAGCTAGTCCCTAGGTACCCTTTAGAGTCAATGGGTGCCTACAAATGGGCAAGTGCTTATTCTGAGATGTGAGTCATTGGACCTATTTTGGATGTCTACTTTGGGAAGACAGAAAAAGTCAGAAAGGCGTGTTTGTCTCCATTGTCCCATAACAGCATTTAAACAGCAAGGTCAGATGCAGACATCTGCATTGAAACAGTGGAATCCCATGGGAGCAACAGTGACATGAACAACTGAAGGAAAATAGCCAATAACTCTGACACTATTGTTTAAACTTTTTTCTGTGGGATAACATTTGGCTTTGGCACAGAATTATAACCAACGCAAATAAGCCAGCACAGATTTTACCTTCTCTTTTGTCCAATCTCTGGCAGACATGTCCACATGCTGAAGCTGCTGTTACATCCATGCTATCAGTAAAGTATGGGCTACGGAGACAAACGAGCCTGACGTTTTACAGAAGTCTTGTGGCCAGACTGAAGGCAAAGAAAAAACTCCAGCCCACTCAAATTGTGCTGAGGCTTAAGCCATTGGAAGGGGTTGCAGCAAGGAAAGAGGAACTTTGAGGCTGACTGTGATACACAGGGACTTAGAAGACAGATATCTTCTTGAGTGAAGGCTCCTCAGCAGTGAGTTTCAGACTCACGTGGGGTTGCGAGTGCGGGGGAAAGCTGCACCATTTCCACTATTGTACTTTTCTGGAAAAAGGACACAGGAAGCTCAAGTTTCTATGCAAATAAAATCCATCCAAACACTGTCCAGACAAAATACTGCAAGTGTTCAGAGGCTAATATGCATGTTAACTGTAGCAGATGGTATTCTTTAATGACCTCTACTCAGTCAGTACCGCACAGTTTTGAGGTAGTCCATAAAGTATTAAGTATAATGAAGAGCTCTAGAGTCAATCAATAATTGGATTGCTATAACCTTGCGATGGCTTTGAGGTGTGAGACACAGTGTGAAATTCAGTGGGATACGGGCTCTTATTTATCATTTGACTAAGCCTCATTTACCACCCACATTAACAGTGTAATTAGCACAGGTTAGCTATATTGATCTGGAAAAATCTATGTGAAATTTAACCATCAAAACAAAAAGAGGAAAAAGAAAAAGACTTTTCTGTAGGATTTTGGCATGATCCCTTGTTCTTCAGTAAAATTCCACAAAGTCAAAAAGAGAAGAAAAGAAAGAAAATAAGGAAAGAGAAAAAAGAAAAAGGAAGTTTTCCTAAATCTAATCTTCTTATAAGTAAAATTATTAGAGGGCTTTCACTTTCCCACGATCACTATGGCTCTGCTTCCCTTTGTTCTTGGTTTGTCTGTTGGTGAGTTCTCATGCTCAGGAAGAGAAGAATAACCTGGAATTTGTTATAACTCATAGCCTCTATAAACTGGGCAAAGAGGTTTTGTGTGGTCAGATGGCTTTCATAAGGACTACTAATTTCATCTTTTTGAAGATTTTATGGTGTTTCAGAGGAGTAGCCATAAAATGGATTTAAGGTGTTGCCTCTGTTTTCCCTTTCTGGTTAGATGGCATAGAGTCTGTGAAAGACTCAAAATCACAGTTTCAGTGTAGACCTGGCAGGTATTAGGCATTTTTCATGTAACCCATGATATGGTTCCATTTCTTATTGTCTTGTTAGAGCATCCAGAGCTTCCACAGTGCTGGTGTAACTACACCCACCATGTGAGTAGTGGGGCAGGAGAGCTGCTATGAGGTGCTGTGGTGCAGCCACCATGTAACCAAATGCCCACCCTCATCAAGCACTTTATGCTGTGGGAATCCACGGATTTTGGCATCCTATTAATGCTGTGAATGAAAAATAAAAATTATTTGTGATTTTAGAAAAATCAAAGACAATTTCTGGGCTTGAGAAAATTGCTGGACTAATGGCAGTGGTTGCCACCAATATGCATGTGAAATACAAGTAGATGTGCCAAATGAATTTTATTTTTTAGCCCTTGTCTGGATTGTGTTGCTCAGCTGGATCTGAAATCAAAGGCCGCTTATTTTTCTGTTATCATCCATTTTGGTTTTGGGCTAATGAATGGATTACATGAGCTGGACTTGCAAGATCTTGGAGAAATCATTTTCTTGTTTTGTTTCATCTGCACAGACTGCACTGGACAATCAATATCTTAACCTCCTTCTGGCTCATAATCCCTTTCCTAGACCTCTGTTTATGTAAGTAAACACATGACTTTTGGAAATATGTTGATAGTTATGAAATGCTGGAAATCCAATACATAAAAAGATCATCAGTAGTCTGAGAATGAACTTATGACTCAAAAGCGGTCTATTGGCACTGTATATCAAGATCAACATAGCCTGTGAGGGGGTAAAATGAGACTTCAATACTTCTGCCAGTTTGAGTGTGCCTGAATAATATAGAATCATAGAATCATTTAGGTTGGGAAAGACCTTTAAGATCATCAAGTCCAACTGTTAACCTAGCACTTCCAAGTCCAGCACTAAACCATGTCCCTAAGCACCACATCAACACGTCTTTTAAATACCTCCAGGGGTGGTGCCTCAACCACTTCCCTGGGCAGCCTGTTCCAATGCTTGGCAACCTTTTCTGTTAAAATTTTTTCCCTAATATCCAATCTAAACCTCCTCTGCCATAACTTGAGGCCATTTCCTCTCATCCTATCGCTGGTTACTTGGGAGAAGAGACCAACACCCACCTCACCACAACCCCCTTTCAGGTAGTTGTAGAGAGCGATAAGGTCTCCCCTCAGCCTCCTCTTCTCCAGACTGAACAACCCCAGTTCCCTCAGCCGCTCCTCATAAGACTTGTGCTCCAGACCCCTCACCAGCTTCGTTGCCCTTCTCTGGACACGCTCCAGCACCTCAAGGTCCTTCTTGTAGTGAGGGGCCCAAAACTGAACACAGGATTCGAGGTGCGGCCTCACCAGTGCCGAGTACAGGGGCACAATCCCTGCCCTACTCCTGCTGGCCACACTAGTGCTGATACAGGCCAGGATGCTGTTGGCCTTCTTGGCCACCTGGGCACACTGCCGGC